GCTTTGAAAATGTCCCATGTGCACTTGAGAAGAATGTATATTCTGTAGCTTTGGAGTGAAATGTTCTGAAGATGTTGATTAGTTCAATCTGATCTAGTAAGTGAGTCATTTAGGATTGTTGTGGTTTTGCTGATTGTTTGTTTAGAGCAGTGGTCGGCAAACTGCAACTCGGCAAACTGCGGCTCGTGAGCCACATACGGCTCTTTGGCCCCTTGAGTGTGGCTCTTCCACAAAATACCGACTTCTGCGCATGGGCCACGAAGTTTCAATTGAACTGTACGTGCGCGCCTGCATGTGGTATTTTGTGGAAGAGCCATACTCAAGGGGCCAAAGAGCCGCATGTGGCTCACGAGCCGCGGTTTGCTGACCACTGGTCTAGAGGATTTATCTAGTGATGTCAATGGGGTATTAAAGTCCCCCACTAAGATTGTATTGCTGTCGACCTCTCCCTTGTTATCTTCCAGAAGTTTTTTTATGTATTTGGGTACTCCTGCATTGGGTGCATATATGTTTACCAGAGTTATACCCTCTTCTTGTATCGATCCCTTTAGTATTATGAAGTAGCCCTCCTTCTCTCTTGTTATGGCCTTCTCTCCAAGGTCTATTTTGTCAGATATAAGTATTGCTACCCCAGCTTTTTTTCGTTTCCATTTGCCTGGAAAATATTTTTCCATCCTTTCACTTTCAGTCTGTGTGAGTACCTTGTTCTGAGTTGGATCTCTTGTAGACAGCATATATATGGGTCATGTTTTCTTATCCATTCAGCCATTCTATTTCTTTTGATTGGTGCATTTAGTCCATTTACATTTAAAGTTATTGATAGGTACTTGTTTGTAGCCATTTTTATTGTTGTTTTTTCTAGTAATATTCTTTTTTTAATCTTTAATTTCTTTATTGGTTAGGGTATTACAAATGTGTCTGTTAATTTTTAAAGCATTTGTATTAGTGTCCCAACAACACCATTATAAAACACCACAGACTTACGGGTTTTAAACAACAGAAATTCATTTTCTCACAATTCTCAAGGCTAGAAGTGCAAGATCAAGGTGTTGCCAAATTTTGTTTCTCCTGAAACCTTTCCCCTTGGGTGGCAGATGGCTGCCCTCTCACTGTGTTCTCACATGGCCTTTCTGTTATGCACACATCTGGTGTTTCTTTGTGTGTCCAAGTTTCCCCTACTTATTAGGACACCAGTAAGATAGGATTAGGGCCCATTTAAAGATTATGTTTCCAAATGCAGACCATTCTGAGGGTTAGGGCTTCTGCATATGCATGGGGGGAGAAGAGACATATTCAGCCCATAACAGCATTTGATAAATTTCCATCTTACCTTGCTTTCTAGAGAAATTTCATTAGAAAATGCATTAGGATAATGAGATGCAGGTTTAAGAAGAAATGCCATTCTCTTTTCCAAAGTGGCATTTTGATTGGAGCATTTTATACATTTACATTCAATGTTATTATTGATAGGTACTTGTTTGTAGCCATTTCTATTCTTTATGCCTCTGTTCCTTCCTCCCTTCCTATTTCTTTTTACAGCATTCCCTTTAGCATTTCTTGCATTGCTGGCTTGGTAGTGATAAACTCCCTTAGCCTTTTTTTGTCTGTGAAGCTCCTGATTTCCCTTTCAATTTTGATTGATAGCCTCACTGGATAGAGTATTCTTGTATTCAGTCCTCGGCTTTGCATCACTTTGTATACTTCATTCCATTCCCTTCTAGCCTGGTGTGTTTCTGTTGAGAAATCATTTGATAATCTGATGGGGGATCCTTTGTAGGTAAATCTGTCTCTCTTTTGCAGTCTTTAAGATTCTCTCTTTGTCATTAACGTTTGCCATAGTACTTATGACGTGTCTTGGTGTGGGTATTTTGGGGTTCATCTTGCTTGGGACTCTGTACTTGTGTGACTTTTTTTCTTCCCCATATCAGGGAAGTTTTCTGTCATTATTTCTTCAAATATGTTCTAAAATCCTTGCTCCTCTTTTTGTTCTTCTGGCACCCCTATTATACGTAAGTTACTTCATTTCATGTTGTCCCAAAACTCCCTTAGGCTCTCCTCCTGCTTTTTTTCCCCCAGTTGCTTTTCAGATTGGGCTTGTTTCTCTACCTTTTCTTCTAACTCACTAATTCAGTTATACACTTCTTCTAGTCTACTGTTGAAACTTTCCATCGCGTTTTTTTTGTAGCTATATTACTTTGAATTTCTTCCTGATATTTGCATAAGTTGTTGATTTTCCCGTCCATCACTTTATTAACTGTATGTCCATTACTCTGAATTCTTTTTCTGACATATTGCATGCCTCTGTTTTATTTAGTTCCTTTGGGGGGTGGTCTTCTTTTTCTTTCCTTTGGGGATTGTTTCATTGTCTCCCCATTCTTGCTATCACCATAAGGTCCAAGTTTTGAGTTGTTGGGGCCTGAGCCATGTGTGGTGGGAACGTCGTGCCATGCGAGCATCACTAAAGAGCTCAGACACTGAGACCTGTGGCTGCTGTGGTTCAGCAGCAGCTGAGCTCACCGAGAATCAGAGTCTCGGCCACTTAGTGTGGCCTTGAGTGTGTGTTAAGAATTAGGGTCCCCACATATGCGCCAAGAACCAGGGTCCCCACACACGCACTGAAAATCGGAGTCACTGGCGCTTGGTATGGCTTTGCGCACACTAGAATCAGGGTCCCCACACGCATGTGCTGAGAAACAGAGTCCCTGTGTGCATGCACCAATAATCAGAGTCCCCATGTGCATTCACTGAGAATCAGAGTCTATGTCGCTTGCTGAGGCCTCGTGCGCACTTGGAGAATCAGCGTACCCATGCGTGCACGATGAAAAACATGAGTCCCCACATGCATGCGCCCAGAATCAAAGTCACTGATGCTCAGTGCGGCCTTGTGCACATGCCGAGATTGGTCTGCACATGCATTGAGCATCAGTCCACATGTGCGCCGATAACAGAGTCCCTGTGTGCACACACAATGAGAAACACTGAGAATCAAAGTCACTGGTGCTTGGTGCAGCCTTGTGTGCATGCCAAGAATCAGTCGGCGTGTGTGCAGCAATAATCAGAGTCCCCGTGTGCGTGCTTGGCGAGAAACAGAGTCTACGCATGCACGTGCCGAGAATCAAAGTTACTGGTGCTCAGGGTGTCTGTGCGCACTCCAAGAATCAGTCCGCATGCGCACACGCAGATAATCATAGTCCCTGGCCTGCTAGGGGGGCCGGGTTGCACAGCTGTCCTGTGTCAGGGGGAGGCCCGCTCGAGTGCCACGGGTTGAGTAGGCTCAATGCCATTGCTGTGTGCAATGAGAAAGAGAGTCCCCATGTGCATGAGCCAAGAGTCAAATTCATTGGCACTCAGTTCGGCGTCGAGCATGTGCCGAGAATCAGAGTCCCCGACTTGCAAGGGGGGCTGGGCTACACAACCATCTTGTGTTGGTGGGAGGCCTGCTTGCACCGTGGGTTGTGCAGGCCCTATGCCACTGCAGCGGGCTGTCTGAGAGGGGGGTGTGCTCTGTGACTCACAGAAATCTGTGACCAGGATGTCTGGAGTCTCAGTGTCCTTGGGTCTGCAGCTGTGGTAGCAGGTCTTTGTCTAGAGTGACTGTAGGGTCCCAGTTTGCCTCTGGGGCCAGTCTGGGTGGTGGTGAGGCTAGAATCCTAGTCACAGCAGTTCTGCCCTTCAAGATGGCGTGGTTTCTGTGCCAGCGCCCGGCTGCCCAGGAGTGTTTGCAGTGGTATCGGAGTTTTGCAGTCTAAGACTGCCCGATCTGCCAGCCCCCAAAAGTCCTACATTTTTATGAAAATTGAAGCTTTTGTTTTTTTCCGGCCCACATAAACTTAAACCGTGTTTATTTGGCTCGTGTTAGCCTTTGAGTTTGACATGCTTGTTCCAGCAGTGGTCGGCAAACTCATTAGTCAACAGAGCCAAATATCAATAGTACAACGACTGAAATTTCTTTTGAGAGCCAAATTTTTTAAACTTAAACTATATAGGTAGGTACATTGTTATTAACTTAATTAGGGTACTCCTAAGGCTTAGGAAGAGCCACACTCAAGGGGCCAAAGAGCCGCATGTGTCTCGCGAGCCGCAGTTTGCCGACCACGGTATCTAGAGGATAAGGCAAGTGGTCTTAACACTCCAAGCTCTTGCTTCTGTCATCACATCACTTACTTCTATACACTGATCTCCCTTTGGCTTCCTCTTATAAGGATACTTGTGATTACATTTAGGATAATCCAGAATAGTATTTTCCATCTTAGTCTTCTTAATATAGCTACACCTGCAAAGTCCCTTTTGCCATGTAAGATATGGTTCACAGGTTTAAGGAATTAGGGCTTAGATATCCTTGGGGGGCCTTCCACAGCCTACCAGCCTTCCACTGGCCCCTAAGGATTCACATCCCTCCCACATGCAAAGTGTATTCACTGCATCCCAATATTCCCTAAACTCTCAACACCTTACAGCATCAAGTCAAGTGTTGTTCTTCTAAATATAATTAGCCCAAAAGTCCCGAATCTCATCATCTAAATCAGGTATAGGTGAAAATCTGGGTATGCTCCACACTGAGGCAAAATTCTTCTCCATCTGTGGACCATTGAAACTAGAAAACATATCATCTGCATTCAAAATATGAGCAGAGATACTCCTGTAAATTGTCTATATAAGTTATAGACATTTTCATTTTGAAAAAGAGAAAATGGAAGGAAGAAAGGAATCAGGGCCCCATGTAATTGTGAAAATTGATGGGCAAACTCCATTAGGTTTCAAGGAATTGTAGTAATTTTCTGTGGCTTGAGGCTCTGCCCTCTGGGCCCAAGGCACCTCCCTTGAAGTCATCCTTTCTTTTTCTTGAAGGGGTAGCACTTGTTTGAAGCTGGGTAGTTTTATCAGCCTGCTTCCTGACTGTAGAATTTTAGGAGCCTGACACCCTTTTTTCAACTTGTCCTCCCTCTGTCCCTTTCAGTCCAAGTTGGCAGTGTTTCTGCTGGTATAACATTCTTAAAAACCTGTAGGTCTTACAGGTACATCATGAGGGTTCAAGCCATTAGACAAGAGGGTCCTCCACAAGATCTTTCCTAAATAATCCCATCTCTATTCCTAGGAGGATTCTGCTGAGATGGTTGAGGGGATCTATCAGTCATAGGCCCAATCTCTTCAAAAAGCCCTCTGTGCCCAGTTGGCACGGCTCAGTGGTTGAGTGCTGACCTATGAACTAGGAGGTCACCGTTTGTTCGATTCCTGGTCAGAGCATATGCCCAGGTTGTGGGCTAGATCCCCTGTGGGGCATGCAGGAGGCAGCTGATCAATGATTGTCTCTCATCATTAATGTTTCTATCTCTCTTTCCCTCTCTTTTCCTCTCTGAAAAGCCCTCTGTGTTAATGAATATTCTGATCTTTTGATCTTTCCAAAACCTTAGCAAAACGTTGACCATTTTTCTATGCTTTCCTGACAGAAATCTAATTTTATCAACTTTTCCAATGTAGATAGGCTTAGAATATCATGAAGTCCTGGTTTTAATTTTTTCCTTTATTGTTCTTCCCTCAATTTATCTTTCCTCTTGCATTATACTATAAACAGCCAAAAAAAAATCAGGCCATGATTTCAACACTTTGCTTGAAAATCACCTCAGTTTAATATCCAAATTCATGATTAATAGCTCTGTTTTCCACAAAACTATATGCCATCGTTCAGCTAAGATTTCTGTAACTATAAAACAAAGATCCTTTTCTTTAAGTTTCCAATAACATATTCCTCATTTCTTTTTGTTCCCTTGCCATCAATGCCTTTGTAACAGTTTGTTAAAGGTAATCTAGACTTTTTTTGTCACATGACCCAAAATTCTTCCTGCCTCTACCTGACTCTAAAGCCACTTCTACACTTTCAGATATTCATTACAGCATCACCCCACTTCTTAGTACCAAAGTCTGTATCACTTTCCTATTTTTGTTGTAACAAATTACCACAAACTTAGAGGCTTAAAACATATATTTATTCTCTTACACTTCTGGAGGTCTGAAGGTCAAATGAGTTTACAGGACTGAAATAAAATCAAGGTGTCAGTAGGATTGGTTTCTCCTGGAAGCTCCAGAGCAGAATCTGTTCCTTGCCAATTCCAACCTCAAGAGGCTATGGGCAATCCTTGGAAATCTTTGGCTCAAAGTTAAATCACTCTGATCTCATTTCTGTTTTCTCATCTCCCTCTGCCTTCCTTTTATAAGGACACTTATGATTACATTTAAGTTCCACCTGGATTATACAGGATAATACTCCTCATCTCAAGCCCCTTAATTTAATGATACCTGCAAAGTCTCTTTTGCCATATATCATAAAAGGTAATCTTCACAGGTTCTAAGAACTAGGACATGGGTATCTTTGAGGGCCATTATTCAGCCTTCCACAAGGTAGTTTAAAAATTCTCTATGTAATTTTTTAGTTAATAGTGTAGTAATTTGTTTAATGTGAAATCTGTAATAAGTTGTATAAACTTGTAATTTGCAGTAATTTGTTTAATGTGTCCATCACTAAGTTTAATATATAAATCGAATAAAAATAAGTACTAATTAAAAATAAGTATTATATTAAGAAATAGAATTTTTTCAACAGCATAGATGGACCTGGAGAGCATTATGCTAAATGAAATAAGCCAGTCAGAGAAGGATAAATATCACATGATCTCACTCATTTGAGGAATATAATGAACATTATAAACTGATTAACAAAAATAGATACGGAGACAAAGAAGCATCGAACAGACTGTCAAACTTCAGTGGGAAGGCAGGGGGGGTGGGGGGAGGGGTAAGAGATCAACCAAATGACTTGTATGCATGCATATAAGCATAACGAATGGACAAAAGAATAAATAAATAAATTAAAAAAAAAAGAATCTAGAGTGGACCCATTTCTGTGACCTACTGTGGTGTTCCCCTGTGGTAGGACTGCACTGGTGACTGCCATCTTTAAACAATAAAATAAAACTTAAAAAATAAAATATACTTTGGGGAAAAAAAGGAAATAGAAATTTTAAAATATTGTCAACCAATTCATTACATGACAAAGTATAAAAGACCTAAACACAAGTTCTTTGGCTACTACTCCATGTAAGTTAGCATGTATTCAAAACAGAAATATAGGTCCCAAGAAAGGAGAGAACATGTTAGTTAAGCACACACTTGGAATGAAGATGCAATATTGCCTAGTAACAGTCACGCCATATATACCAAAGAGTTCAGAAAACACAGCTAAAATCATCAAGTCTGCTCAGTATATATATATATAGTTAGAAACTTAGGTTCGAGACTCAAAATTCCTTCTAATATCCAGTTTAATAAATCAATATGAGATAAAGAAAAAAAGAAAAAAATGAAAGAATCCCAAGGTTGTATCAAATAATGCTCTGATTCTAGCAGACTGTTCAATCTCCTTACCTAGGCTGGAATAAATGTGGCTGAGAATACGAGCTGGTTGTACTCTGAAGGGGTACACCTCAGCAATGGTCTCCACATCAATTCCCTTGTCCTTTAAAATGGCCTTAATTTCTTCTGTCTCAGCTAGAATGGAAACTGTAAGAAAGAAAAATGAGATCAACAGAAAATTTTATTTCAGTAAGAATTTAAAATCTCTCAAGCCACATAAGTTTTTTGAAGGGAAGAGAAAGGAAAGTTGAGGAAATTAGTAATTATTGGGGAACCTTGATGAAATAATTATCAAGTTAGGTACATAATGATTATTATCTAAATGGCAAATGAAAAAAATATTTCATGATCAGAGTATCATATTCTGGTTTTTGGTCAAGTATTTGGTCAAGTGTTCCTAGAGAATGCCACACTCTCTTTTTATCTGTGATTCCATGTTTAAACAGGAAAAATTCCAACATGTGGTGTGTTATAGCTTTGGTGAAAGTTAATTCCTCAAGACTCTCTCATATCCATACCCTTAAGACTAGGGCTAGGATTACAAGGGTAATAAAGAATACACTAATAAGAATTGCTCTATAGCTAGAGAATGGTAGAAGGCAAGGTAAATTGGAAATAAAGAATTGAGGTATGAGAGTTGAAATTGTGTGTGGTTATTTTTTTTGCAGGGCGGGGGGGAGTAGGGATAAATACTTTTCTAGACTCAGAGCCTGCCAAGCCTGGACAGCTCCATTTTGTTCCTCTTACATTCATGCCTCTGATGTAGTCACTGTACTTACAGAGGAGACTGGCTCTTCTGTTTACTCTCCCTCTATGAGACAGATATTTGACACTAAGTACCAGGAACAAACATGCACCTGATTCCTGTTCCTCTAATGATGGTATATGTGTTGAATTGGGTTAATGGGAAAATGAAGGTATCACTTGGTTCATTCCAGCTTACCAGTATTCTTTATGTTGAGTTTTTTTTTGTTTTGTTTTGTTTTGTTTTTGTTTTTGTTTTTTTAGCAAAAGCCTAGTTAACAAAGTTGCTGGAGGCAAAGACCAACAGTAGTTAGCATAATAAATGAAAGAAGTTTGTCAGAAGGCTGATGGACTTTGATATTCAGCAGGGCTGAAAATCTGCATATAATAATCTGCTGCTGGCTGAATAGCTGAAGGCAATTCTCCTAACCTGATAATCCTCTATTGTTTACCAAACCTTATCATTGATGTCTGTTTGCTTTGCTAAAGGGCAAATGTGTATTGAAGTAAATAAAAAGTCGTGGGTCTGGACATTCAGGGAGCCCATTCCACTAGAGAAGGGTTTCTGCCTGGTCCCCCATGCCTTCCAAATTTATATTTCTTGTCTAGTCTCTTCATTTATGTTACAGCCCCTTCTCCCAATTCCTGAACCCTTGCTGCAAAAGACTGTGGCACTTATGGTGCCTTAATGAGGGACATCTGAAGAAGAAGATTATAAGTGAGATCATGTGATATTTATCTTTCTCTGACTGACTTATTTCACTTAGCATAATGCTCTCCAGATCCATCCATGCTGTTGCAAATGGTAGGAGTTCCTTCCTTTTTACTGTGGCATAGTATTCCATTGCATAGATGTGCCAAAGTTTTTTAATCCACTCATCTGCTGATGGGCACATAGGGTGATTCCAAATGTTAGCTATTGTAAATTGTGTTGCTATGAACATACATATACATACATATATCTGATTGGTATTTCTAGTTTCTTGGGATATATTCCTAGAAGTGGGATCACTGGGTCAAATGGGAGTTCCATTTTTAGTTTTTTTGAGCAAACTCCATAATGTTCTCCACAGTGCTGCACCAGCACCAGTCTGCATTATCACCAGCAGTGCATGAGGGTTCCTTTTTCTCCGCATCCTCGCCAGCATTTGTCATTTGTTCATGATAGCCATTCTGACAGGTGTGAGGTGGTACCTCATCATCGTTTTAATTTGCATCTCTCAGGTGATTAGTGACTTTGAGCATGTTTTCAAATGTCTCTTGGCCTTCCTTATGTCTTCTTTCGAAAAGTATCTATATAGAACAGTTGCACATTTTTTGATTTGGTTGTTTGTCTTCCTTTGTTAGTTTGCATGAGTTCCCTGTAAATGTTGCTAATTAAGCCCTTATCGGAGATATCGTTGGCAAATATGTTCTCCCATGCAGTGGGTTTTCTTGTTGTTTTGTTGATGGTTTCTTTTGCTGTGCAGAAGCTTTTTATTTTGATGTAGTCCCATTTGTTTATTTTCTCTTTAGTTTCCATTGCCCTAGGAGCTGTGTCGGTGAAGATATATCTGAGATCTTGCTGCCTGTGGATTCCTCTAATATTTTTATGGTTTCCTGTCTTACATTTAAGTCTTTTATCCATTTTGAGTTTATTTTTGTGTATGGTGTAAATTGGTGGTCTAGTTTCATTTTTTTGTGTGTCTGACCAAGTTTCCCAGAACCATTTATTGAGGAGACTATCTTGACTCCATTGTATGTTCCTATCTCCTTTGTCAAATATTAATTAAGCATAGTGGTTTGGGTCAATTACTGGGTTCTCTATTCTATTCCATTGGTCTATATGTCTGTTCTTGTGCCA